AGTTTGGTCTATATAGCTAATTTTGCCCTTCATGACAACTGTGAGGGGTGTGAATTTTTTTATAACTCATCCGTTTAAATTATATTAAGCCTTAAAGTTCTGCATAATTAAGGGCGTGGCCACTTGAGTGACATTTGGATTGTCGCTGCTGTCACCGGCGTCGAGCTATGTGGGTGTGGTTTCAGCTGTCAGTCAATAAAGCATTTTTTAAAAACAATAACACTTAAATTTTTTAACTAAAATATTATTGCAACCATATAACATGACTAAACATCCGAAGGTAAGTTAAAAGAAAGAGTACAACTTTACAATCCGTATCCTGTATTCATGTAATCGCTCAATCAGTGTTTCAGCCGCGCAAAGAGGTCAATATAACGGCTTGTAAACAATGTGTCACGTAACGTCACATTTACCTCAGAAAAACATATTCGGTGACCATAAACTCATTAGTCAGATAGGAAAATAAACTGTAGAGAGGGGCATTTTGCTAAATATATGCACCATATAACATATTCATTATAAATTTTCCTGTTCTTCAGTGTTTAATTTATGTTTGAATAAATCCATCAAGTTTTTATGACAGCCACCATTATGTTTATATATTTTTTAAACGAATTGAAGTAGAAATATTATGTGTTATAGTAATGTAGTACCATCTGACTCTCGTGTATATTTTACAGCATTAGTTGAGAGTTTTTTTTCCTTGAGAAAATTTGGTATGTACTGTACCTGATATATATCCAAAATAATCGATATTGAATCTAATCGAATTGAATTGGTAATCGAATTGAATCGCAAGCTTGTGAATGAGAATCGAATCGTGAAATTTGTGTCAAAACCCAGCCCTAATATAGGCTAGCCTATGAATGAATGAAAATGCATATTTTTCAATTAAAGAAAGAGGATTCCGCTTGGTCTTAAAGCCTTCCTTGAGCGGCTACGTTCACAAATAAAACAATTTGCGCAATAGAATGATTAATTATCAATTGAGAATTTGTTATTCATATGGTCTGGTGGTCATATGGCGTGCCTGGGAATACGGGACAAATTGCGTTAGCTTTCATACATGACGCTTTGATGCCTTAAGGGCATCCATATTTCAACCCCAGTGGCATGACAAGACCGGCCCTCACGGCCAAAAAACAGACCGGCCCACCGGGAATTCTCCTGGTGCTCCCGATTAGCCAATCCGGGCCTGCCCACTGCTGTCGGGAGCCTGGCGAAGGGCGGCGATTAAGGGACGGGGTGTTGCTGATAATTAGGGGGGAGGCAGGCGACTCGCCACAACACACACAGGCAGAGGGTTCTAGACAGCTGTGCCTTTGTGTAAGACAGTCTGTTTGTCTGAGTCCAGAGGGCAGCGTAGCAGCCATTTTTTCTGCCTCCTCCTGCTTATTTTGACAGTTAAGAGCTGCTCTCTGCTCCACAGCCCCAAGGCACATGACATCCTTGTCTGGCACACAGATTGCACAAAAATCTGTCAAATATGTGGTTTTGTAACATTAATACTCCGTTTTGAAATGTAAAAAACTGAATATCAGTTTCTGTAATTGCAAGTATATTTTGTTGTGTTAAATTTCCTCTTCTTGAGATTTGGGCTCTTGATGGAAATTGCAAACAAACTGTTAAACACTTGCAATTTTCTGTATTTACATGGCTACCATGTGTTAATGGGAGCTATTCATATTACTTCACATTTGCCTCTTCTTGCCTTAATCGCAGTGGTTAAAGCTGCAGTCTGTAACTTTTTTTGGTTAAAAATGATCCGAAATCATATATGGTGAAAATTCTTATTTGGGTCATATTCCAAGACGTGCTAGAATCTGTGATTGCGAAGTACAGTAAATATCCACACCGGTGCGGTGACTGACTGCCACACATACTCTTCAGAACATTAGATTCATCAGCACTGGAGCCGTGCCGACTCACAACCCAAGCAAGCTAGATAATTCTGCACACAGCTGCAATTCCAGGTTTTCAAACAGAGATGGCGACAAAGAGGCAAAACTTACGGACTGCAGCTTTAATGAAGTATACTAAGTGAATTACCACATGTTCACCATCCTGTCAGCATTCTGTTTTACTAATTTATTATTAGTAATTTACTTTCTGGGTTAAAAGTAGCTGAATAAATTAATTACAACAATTGCTTTTGGGTTAAAAGGGTGACTTGAATGTGCAAATGCTCTGTGGTTCCACTGCTTAGATTTTACTGCCATCTAGTGGATCAAGTATGTAAATTCAAGTTGACTTCATTGTCATTCCAGCTAGAATGAATAGTGCTGCAGTGCCGATGATGATGTATTTTTGTAGGCCAACCCAGAAGTTAACTTCGCCCTGGTTTCTAAACAGGTTATAAATGAATCACAGTCACATGACTTAAACGTCAGCACCATTAATCTTAAACTCTTTCAGTCTTTAATTTTAAAAACATTTTTGCTGAAAGTTTGAGTTAGAATAGTTTGCAAGGGCATGATTGTAAACACAATGAGGCTGTAAAAGCAGACAGTGAGTAGATGGGTGATGAACCAAAAGTGCTAAAATGTTAACTAATTTCCGAGTTTTTGCCTACAGAAATTCATAATCCCTGCAATTAACAATAAATAAGTAAGAAGCTTACTTCTATAGGGATCAGATGTGATGTATAATCATAATATGCACATAGTGTACATTGCAATATGGTTTCAGTAATCGGCACATGGTCGCAGAGACACGAAAAGTGGCTAGTTAATTGTTTAATTGTGTAGCAGAAGTGCAGGGCAAACATAAATAAATGCATTATAAACATTAATTAACATAATTATATTATATCTATTTGTGATCATGTACCTGTACTGTTTTTTCTTATATATATATATATATTATATAATTTATTATGTAGTATTATGTAATATAATCTTTTTCTGTCTCAGTTGAACATGTTTGAATGTGTATAAAGTGTCTTTTTTAACCGCTGCTGATTTTGCCAACATATTGTTGTTGCATTTCAGAGTTCAATCCCCCAGAATTCTGCTTGAGTCCAGTTGATAGGGGCAATTGTGAAGGCTCTGAGAGGAGATTCGTGTACAACACCAGGACTGAGAGATGCCAGATGTTTCGCTACAGTGGCTGTGGAGGCAACAAAAACAACTTTGTCCATAAGAGACACTGTATGAAAATGTGCATGAAAGGTGTGTTTACTGCAGCCCTTGCTTACTTTAGAGGGTTTGATATTATAATTGAGAAAAAGTGTTCAGTTTAGTGTCAATAATGATGATGCTTAAACATCCAACTTGTGTTCCATTAGGCTGGACCACAAAAAATGAAGCAGGAAAATTTGCGTCTATTGTTAATTCTGTATGTTCAATGTTTTCTCTTCAGATCACAGGAGGAAGCAAATACGGATAAAGACGAGGAACTCAAATATCTTATTCCGATCTGTCTAGGACATATTTTTCATGATACCAAATACTAAACCACTCTTCAGAGAGAAAATAAGAAACAGCAGCATGTGCCAGTACCTCGCTGACACACACATTATTGTCATGTATATAATTATCACAGTTAATGGATTTTAAACTAGACTTTATATATAAAGACATTCTATGTATGAGAATGTCTTTAGGAAAGAAAGGAAAAATTGACATACAAAAATTACTCATCACATTGCCACTTATACACTATGGCTTTTATAAATATTTGCTGAAGATTCTAAATCCTTTGTTTATTCCTTTCCTTTATTGTTTTTGTAAAAATGTTCAAACATACTAATTCTTAGTTTTTTGTGTTTATACAGTACACTCCAAAATGTTATGATTTTTATGCCCTTGCATTGTGACCTTGAACTCTTGTCATTGTTTGTACGTAATGACTAGAGGCAAAAAAAATATATAAATAAATAAATTCCAGGACACAGTGATTGAAAGTTGAGTCTAACATAAAAAAATGTATAGAAAAATGTGACCAACAGATCATCACTAAGAGAACCACTTATATGACTGCACATTTTACTAACATCTTACAAATAGAGTACCAGCAATTCCATTGTGAAAGGTGTTTTAGGACTTCTTGATGGTTTGAAAAAAGAAAGCACATAAAACTGCTTACAACTCAGTCTGTTTTCTACACAAGATGGAGCTGTTACTCTTGAGAAGACATTTTGCAATCCGCTACTAGTGGTTAAAATGCCTTTACATGCACTCTAATTAAACAATTGTATTTGAATGAACTTTCAGTGGCTTCATTACAGTTGTAATTCATTATGTTTCTTAAAATCAGCTGGAGGAGTGGAGGAGCATTTGAACTGCCATAAGATGGGGACCCCAAGAGTTTTTCACTTAAAAATAAGAATGTTGTTTAACCCACAAACCTAAAGTCATTTCTGTGACCACAAATATCCCATTAACAAATAGTCATAAAACTTTAAAATACAACATAAAATTTAATTTATAAAAAAAAACACATATAATGTAAAAATATATATTATAAAATATATACAGACATCTTTTAGAGTGATATATATTTTGTGAGTGTGTGTGTATAGTAATAATAACAGTAAATTACGCGTAATTACAAGCAAAAAATCATGAACCAAACCCCTAATCCTAACGTTAACCCTTCAGAAAGTGGATTTGTTCATTAATATTACTCACTACTAGTAACAAGGACAACCGTTATCATTTTCAATAACGCAAACTGTGTAAGGAAAGCTCCTGTGTGCCATTGAGGCGGGGATAAGCAGTGATGATGTAACAGGAAGCTACTACACTGAATATCTTTCAGCCTGACAGCCGTAGTCATTCACACGCTGCTTGTCTCGCGAGCTGATATTGTTACATTGTTTCATGCCATCGTGACGTCGCGAAGGAAAGTAATGACCGTTTGTGTTTTTAAATAACAAGACTTGCGCGTTCGTTTTTATCTCCAGAACACCTTGGATTTAATCTACAGGTAAGGATACGCTTGATATAAATGAACTACTGATTAATTATATATATGGACAGACAGGGAATTAATTTACCAAGTGCAGCTGGAGAATTCATGTCACGTTATAATAATTGCTGACTGAACGGACTCCCAGAGTTCTTATGAATCAATGAGAGCTTTAGACTGAGAAACAAACGGCGGTTTTGTCTATTAGACTGTTGATGATATTAAAGCGAAATTTCTGAAATATCATAATGGGCAGTTTGGCTCTTGTGTGCGCGTAATTTCTTAACTCCGCTGAGATGCGATTTGTGAGTGCGATCATATTTGTGCATGTATGTGTGTGTATTCAATACTAATGATCACATGATGGATTTCACTACTTGATTTTAATTTGTATGTACAAACTGCAATATTTTATAACAAAGAATGACTGAACCCTATTACCACCTATTGTCATTACCATCATGCCAAGCATAGTGAAAAATCGTTCTTCCAAAAATAAATAAATAAAACCCTTTGAATTCTTGATTTGTAAATGAGAAACAATCAATTTCTTTATATAAAGTTAATTATCTTTCAGATTACTTAGCAAATACAATACTAATTCAACATTTTCCACAAAAAGTGACAAATGTCATTACATACAATCTAATTCAACATTTTCCACAAAAAAGTGACAAATGTCATTACATACAATCACACATCTGAAAACTAAATATCACACATTATGTCGAAATCCACTTAAAGGTTGAATTTTGATCAAAAGTGCCAGAAAAAAAAATTATAGTAATTATATTTTTTCATATTTTTTTTTATTTAATTTTGGGTGTAATCTGTAAAGAAAGTGTCTTCTTTCATATAAAATTAGTCAAACCTAAACTGAATTTGCTAGTAGCCTAATTATTTTGGGGACCTCTAAATATATTTCTTTTTCATTCAGTCTTAGAACTGTAGCTCTTATTGTTGTACTTCATCATTATTCCAAAATCTTACAGCCTACATCAGTGCCAGGAACTGAGAAGATAAAATACCAGTATCATGAAGTAACTAGAAATACCATGGTCTGTTGACACCTAACCTGACAGAAGGGGTCTGACAATCTCTCCAAGGAGGAAACATTTTGATAATTAGCCAACAGATAGTCTTGGTATTTGTGTTTTTTGGGCCACATGATTACATAAGCAGCTGCTTGTACATGATGAAATACTGTGAAGCTGATGAAAGAAAGATTGCTAAAATGATTTTTAAAGATTTCGCTCATATGATGCAATGACACTGTTTGATGTCTCTGTTTGATGTGCAATATCTTCCGAAGATCTTTCATGTGAAATTTTATGTTATTCCTGTTGCTTGGCTCTCTAATCTCAAATAATTGCAAATGCAAATATCAATTATTATTGCTCGATTACGGATCTGAATTAAACTTCCAAATGTAAAGATTCAATTATGGAGCATAATTCATGCGCAGTTTAGGCCTGGGCGATAAAACGGTATCGATAAATGTCAATAATTATCGATACTGAACGATATGAAACATTATATCGTTGATAAATTTTTTAGCTATATCGCCCAGCCCTAGTGCAGTTTATGCTATAATACCTTGAGTGGTGCACTATCATAGACCAACCTGACCACACTAGCTGACAGTAGCAATGTAACCACTCGGAATACCCAAGTAATGGCACAGAGACATGGTAAAACCACTCAGAACACCTTAGCAAAAGGCATAGCAAAGCTCTGTTAAACACCATAATATCCTAGAATCATGACGGTGAGTTTTGCATAGACAAGCACTCTCTAATATCGCTTATTTTCATAATCAGACCTTATACACAGTGCTGAGGTATGAACAATTTGTTCTATGGAAATTAAAAGGTTAGTGACTGTTCGCCTCTAGGGATTGCTAGCTGGCAAAGGGACCTAATGAAAGAGGATTTGTTACTTAGAACACGAAAAGCCAATTAATCCTCACACAGAATATGTTAAAGAGCATAGCTTATGTTTTTAAAAGGGAATCAATTATTTAGCCTCGCCGTTTGAGAGCCTTTTATGTGGATCTCAATGCAGAGCCCCAAAGCATGCATGTGTTTGTCAGGTTTGAGTGCTGCTTTCAAGGAGGATTTAATGTCATTGGAACAAAGCTGTGTTCCTGGCCTGGCGACATTGCATTCAGTTACTGTGCCATTACCATGGTTCACCCCTTACCTCCGTCACGGAAACGTGGAGAGCAGACAGTAAACCATGCCAGAATGTTTTACTGCAAACATAGCTATCACAATCCTGTCCGACTCCTCAGTGTAAAAGCCTACAGTCCCACTGGTTGGATTAATAGAATTTGTGCACACTGGTCATAATTAGATACATGTGAGCTCAAAACACCCCTGAGCATTTGCAAAATAAATGTTTTCTCCACCGCAAGACAGGCCATGATATGTCTTGCATTTTTATTAGCAGCAATGTCAGAGTTCATGATTAGATGCTTTGAAATGATGCAAAAATATAAAGATTTATTACAGTCAGGGATTTGGTGTCTTGTTTCAGGCGTTAAACTGGAGTGGGGCTAATAGGATCATTTCATTTCCTCTCTCCAGATTCATTAGGTTTTATGTGCGTTGAAGTGCGGCAAGCCGCGCAACCCGCTATCTAGCTGTTATTTCCATCATATCTATTTCATTCACTAGTCAGTATTATCACATTGCTTTATTGAGATTAGATGCTTGGTAGAGAATTGTTGCTCTAGGTATTACCTTAAGAAATATTTCTGTCTGCTGTATACACTAGTTAGACCGATGTATGCTGCTTCATGTTTTTGTGGAAACCATGATACACTACCATTCAAAAGATGGGGGTAAGCAAATAAAAACAAAATAATAATAAAATAATTAAAAGAAAGAAAGAAAGAAAGAAAGAAAGAAAACTTATTCAGCAAGGATGCGTTAAATTGATCAAAAGTGATCAAATATTTGCTGTTTGAACTTTCTATTCATAAAAGAATGTTGAAACAAAATGTATCAAGGTTTCCACAAAAAAACTGTATTCAACATTGATAATAAGAAGCATTATTAATAATTAATCACCAAATTTGCATATTAGAATGATTTCTAAAGGGTCATGTGAAACTGAAGGCTGAAGTAATAGCTTCTAAAAGTTCAGCTTTGCTATCATAGCAATAAATGGCATTTTAAAATATACTAAAATAGAACTAACTAACGTTAAAAAAGTGAAATCGCAATCAACCACCCCTTTAAATCATAATAATATTTCACAGTATTACTTCTTTTACTGGATTTTTGATCAAATAAATGTAGCCTTGTTGAGCAGACTTCTTTACAAAAAATGTGTCTGTCTACTGACCAAATAAATTTCCCATGTATTTTTAGCAATTTTGAGTCAATATTCTGTAAAATAAATGTTCAGCCATTTTGTGAAAATCTTATTTGGTATCATAAAATATTTACAGTGAGGTCCACTGGGAGACCACATTGAAAATATTAACCTAACCTATTTAATTCAGACATGGAAATAAACAAAGTTTTAGTTTTTTTGGGGGGGAAAATACACAAAATATTTCAAATTAGAATCATTTTCCAATCTAATCTTTCACATAATATAATTTGCATTAAAATTATTAATTTGAATAATGTAAAAAATATATAACATTATTAATTAATACATTTAAAAAAGAAGAAGTCTAAGAAGTATTCCGTACAATGGGGTCCAAGTGTCCCACCCTCCACTCTAGATACCAGTAACGGTTCAGTATAAACATGACTACAAATAACAGCTTTATATGATTATTCCTATGGATACTGGCAGCCAGGTTTGTCCTGCAGTATGAATAATCATGGCCAAACATGTCGCTGATGACACTGAGTTAGGGCTGCACAATTAATCGAATTTCTAAGCATGCTCCAATTAGGACTAGGTCTGTTCCTTTGTCCCACACCTCTCCCTGGTATAATGCTAAGCTTCGTGCTATGAAGGCAAAAGGCAGACAGCTTGAACGCCTTTTTAGAAAAACTGGCCTGACTGTCCATTTTCAAATATTTTCTGAACATATTAGGCATTATAAAACTGCCTTGAATGCAGCACACTCTTCCTATATTTCTGATATCATCAATAAAGCTAACAATAGGCCAAAAGCTGATTTCACCAACTATTGTCCAATCTCCAATTTACCATTTATTTAGAAAATTATGGAAAAATTTGTTGCCAATCAGCTAGTCTTCTTTTCTAGCTCTCAGCGATCAGTTCGATGCATTTCAATCTGGTTTTTGCTCTCATCACAGCACTGAAACTGCTTTAGTTAAGGTTGTCAACGATTTGTTACTCTCTGGTGACTCAGGTAATCTCTCCATTCTCCTGCTTCTCCATTCGACCTCAGCTCAGCATTTGATACTGTCTGTCACAAGTTATTACTCTCCCGCCTTTCAGAGATAGGTGTCTCAGGTGCTGCACTATCCTGGTTCTCTTCCTATCTCACTGATAATACTACATCACTATGCATAATTATAAATCTCCCACTACTTTACTCAGTCAGGGTGTTCCCCAGGGATCTGTTCTTGGGCCATTACTATTCATTACTTAAATCATGCCTCTTGGACATATTATCCGTCGTCATGGTTTTCATTATCACTGTTATGCTGATGATATTCAGATATACACTGCATGCAGACCAGATTCTATTCACCAGACCACATCACTATCTACCTGTGTCAATGAGCTAAAGGCCTGGCTAAATTCAAATTTTTTTGAATTTGAACAAAATTTTAAATTTTAATTACTGGCCCCCCTTCACTAACAAAAAATACAGTAAATGCTCCCAGTTTCAACCATTCAGCTTGTTTATTTTCATATAAAAATACGGCAATTCCAAGGGAATAATCGACAATTATGATTTTTGTCATAATCGTGCAGCCCTACACTGAGTGAATGGCACTGTAGTATTTAAAAAAATGGACCCTAGAGATGAAGGGCTTGTGTGGGTTGCTGGACAGTGGAAATATAAACAGCGCTTCAGA